GCTTTATCTAAGGATCCCAATAATATAGAGATAAAATATGAGTTGTATGAGACATTACGGATATCCAGCATACAAGTAAGAAATTTTCGACTCATCATTGTACGGATATCCAGCATATAAACAGAAGAAAAAAAAAATATCATAATTTTTACGTAAAAAATCCTAGAAAAGGAAAAAAAAACACTGGCCGCACTCGATTGAAATGATTCCACTAGTATTTGATTAGATTACAAGTGACTAACTCGTCCCTGAAATTAAGAAAGATCATATTCTAATAATCATTCGTCGGGTTGAAATCCAGTTATGAACGGTGATTAGAAAGTTGGCAACGTTTGGTGATCAGGAGGAAATCTGGCTTTAATTAACGGTCGGGCGAAAGTTTGCTGTCAGTCACCAGTTGGGCAGAAGCCCAGCGTTAGTCGGCTGTTGGGCAAAAGTTCGGTGTTAGTCGGCAGCCGGGCAGAAATTCGGTTGTTGATGGTATATATCAACCATACACGCAATGGCATGTGTTAATGTTGTTGGCGATGATATGTGACGACGTCAAGGAATCCTAATAAAGCTAGGCAAAAATGCTTAGAGGGTTGTAAATCGGAGGAACATAGTCGGATAATGGTGATTAAAGGACTGTAGTCTGATAATGATAGTGAAACAATCATAGTCTAATGATAGAGATTGGAGAATTGTAGTTGGGTGATGCTAGTAGGAAGATCGTATTCAAATGACACTGGTTAGAAGACCTCAATCAAGCGACAGGGTTGTAGTTAAGTGACAGTGATCGAAAAATCATTTTTGAGTGATAGTTGTATGACAATGTTAGGAAGGTTGTGATTTGACTGTAGCGTTTGTGCAATGATTGAGTAGTGGTTTGATATTTAAGTGGAGCTTCGAGATTCTTTGGGTCGCTGAGCTATCTTATATATTTTTTAGAGTTGCATGCTATGTAAATATAGCCAAAATTCATACCACTCTATTAGAAGACCCATTTTGATTTCATGGATCATAGACTTTTCTTTAACATTTAGGTGCATTGATGATGTTACAATTAAGATATCTTGGGCTCATTCGATTCACATCATTGAAATGTTTGATTTGACTAAAAACATGTCAGATTTGGAGATTATTTTGTCCTCCAAATAGTTTGTTAAAGTTTTCTATTATGCTTTAATCGCTTGATTTAGGCTCATTCAGATCCATATTGATCACTTTTATTGTCATTGGGTTTGTATCATCGTGACGTTCCGTTTGTCTATAAATTTACTAAAATTAGAGTTATTGTATTTAATTTTGAAAATATTCAATTCAAATCTATATCTTTGTGTCTGATTAAGCTGAATTTATATAATACTAATATTAAAATAAATTGGATGCTTTTCATGTGCGTTCTAATGTATTTTGTGTCATAAATTCAAACAAAAAAAATGCTTTCATCTAATTGCTCATCATGGGGCCTATGTGCAAGAGTTTGGGTCCACAGGTCATTCAATTAAAGATAAAAAAACTCGTGATATTATTACTAAATTTTGGTTGGCTATAAGAGAAATGTCGCGTAAAATGAATACTTTAGAGTTAATTAGATGATTGAATATAAATGATGGTGAATACTTTTTTTGTTCGGCTTAAAGTAAAAGTTTAAATGCAGTGTAAAGTCCAACGATGGTTGCTGATGGCGGTAGTGATCAGCGATGGTGGCGTAGGCCGGCAGTCGGCAGTGTGTAACAGCGACTGGCGGTGGGTGATAGCGACCGACGACAATGTTGGGTGGCGAGTGTTGGCTGAGATCAAGAGAGTTTGCTTGTGGTGTAAACAAGTCTTGCTCAAAATAGGGCGAGTTTCGTTTACCTAAAAAATAAACTAAATTGATGTGCACTACATTTAGTTTACATTATTATGTATTTATTTTTCATCCAACCAAACATCAATATTTAAAAGCCTCTGCATTTGAAATACTTTATTTACCAAACAGCCCCTAAATTATTTACCATATGAGTATAATTTTAATTTTTCATATTTATATTAATTTCAAAGTTTGACTCATCCATATTAACATTTCATGACATCCCTAATGGCTTCAATTTTACTTTTAGGATAGTTAGCGTGGCAATAAAGGTAAATACATCTAACAAAATTACAAGCTTTGATCATATCCAATTTTAAATAATATTGGATTTTAAAAATAGAGCATTGGTTGAAGATCTTTGTCTTCCTACTATCAATTTCAGCTCGAATAGACTAAAATGCAGGACCTAATTCAGATGAAATAATCTACTATATAATTAAAACGACAAATATACGTTCTATTCTGTAATTAAAGATTATGGGATTACAATATAGTGAACTTAGATTTCATCTCAGGTACTTATAAGTTATAACAGAGGTTGATGGAGAAGTAGCTAAGCGAGCAAACAGGTGATGTCAGCCAAGTGTTGGGAATAGAACTAAGGTGGTCGAAGTACGATAATCAGATGATGATGATTGGAAGATGCTGGTTGAACAACGATGGACGAGTGACCACAATCAAATGGCAATTAGATAAAGGTGAATTATTATAATGGTTGGGTAATAGTGATCGGACAGCTTGTGCTGATTCTTTGATTATAAATTATTACTTTCAATGTTTAAGTGTCTTGCCTTTAAATTAGTCCTAATTAAGCACTAATCCAGCAATTTGATTATGATAGAACCCCAAAAAAATATAAGGATTAAAAAATAATCTCCACCTTATGCAACCTGATGGCTTTTTTTGCTAAATTAAAAATAATAATAATATTCAGCTTGCTGAAATTAGCTTCATGAAATTGGTGATTTGAATCAATCATAGCCATTAAAGGTGCATCACACGGCTGGGATTCAGAATTAGCCTCGTTCTACATATTTTTCTGGTAAAATATAAAACCTTTCCTTTTCAATAACTTTTAACAGGAAAAAAATATTTACATATACAGACAAATATTTTATTATATTGCATATTAAATACTTTTTTTTTATACATATTTATATCAATCACCATAACCATTTTTAACTTTTCCAATGCATAAATTTATGCTTTGATTTTATTCGAAAAACAATCATGCATGCCATTAATGATTAGGAGTTTTTAGATAAGAAGAAATTAAGAGCATAAATTAATGTTGATATCAGCGATTATTGAAGGTTAATTAAGATAAATGTGTAAGGGGAGAAGGAAAACAAAATAGGTTTTTCATTTATAAACTGTACTTATTGAGTGTTGAATGTGACAAATTATGTGAAGAAAAAAAACAAAAAATATTAATGATTTGGTCTAATACACGATTCCTTTTTTAAGTAATTAAAATGGATGTAATTTACTAATGATTTTCTGTTATGGTTTAATTTTAATTAAACTAATAGGATAAGTATTATTGCTTTTTATTACTATGTTAAATTTTAAAAATGAAATAAATTACTTTTTATCTATTTATAATAAATTAACTATACTGAGATTTAAATCTTAATATAAAATTTATAAATTTAATGGAGAGAAGAAAAATTCTATATTATTCAAATTAAATCATTTATTTTTTTATCAAACTTAGTTGATTTTGAACATAAATAAAATTTTAAAGCCTTCTTCAAATTTAAACATTAATTTTCTTAATTAATTGAGCTTAATTAAATGTATATTTAATATTAGTAATTTAAAATGTAAACCTTTGTATTCAACATAATTTAATTTAAAATTTTTAATAAAAAAGATACATTTCACAAGTTATAAGTTATGTAGTTTGGTAAAATTTAAACATTGATAAGAAAATTTTAATCAATATACCTTACTCTTTATTTGATATTCTCATCAACCTCTAACAATATACATAATTTTTAAAATATATAAAAGAAAAAAAAAACAAATATAATTGTTATGGCAGAAACACACATGGCTTCTACCCTCAATTTAAACTTCATTTTAGGCAACTTTTTCAATATTTTATAAAGCAATTTTTTAGCATACAAATTTTTTGAATTAGAAATTTTTGTACTAAAAATTTACTTTAAAAAGCATAAAAGAGCCGCCCCAAATAAAGCCTTAGTGCCAACTGACGCCATAAACTAACTTCAGTGCCAAAATTCCAGCCTACAAAATTGTCAGATGGTCGAACAAATCTTAGCTCTGTCAATTCCACATCTAAATAATACAGATTTATTACTGTGCAGCAGGTCTTCTTATACCAACAATGGAGAAACAAAGTTTCACAGAAAGAAATCCACCACTGCTATCAAGCCATCGAGTCATTGATATGATCTTCATCGCTTTCTTCATTCCCTTTTTATTAGGACCTGAAAAGCATCCCTTTATGATCAAATACAAAACTTATGAGAAGCAAATGATTCACAATGAAAAAATTATTGCAGGCAGACTATATAGTTCTATGTGTAAATTATGGGATCGCACAATTATGCAATCGTAGTTAACTCTATTTAATTAGAATACAAAAGTATATACTTCCATAATCTCAACGTAGAGCCATGCAAATAATATGTATGGAACATTTCTCCTAAAAATGAGCCAGAAGAACTAAATCTGAGTGTAGTTTAGCTGGGTCCAACTTAAGTAGAGCCCAGGCAAGCTCTAAAAAGATTCAACATGTTTAAGTAGGGGTATCAATTTCCGGTCACGGGTTGGGTTCAGGTCAAATCCGAAATTGACCCGGCACTATTCGGGTCAACCCAAACCCGACCCGCTTCAGGTCTGAGTCAACTCGACACGACCTGAATGACCCAGGACCGTGAAAAAATTGCTAGTTTTTGGGTCAAAAAACGGGTCAAACTCCGCTTTTTCGGATCAATAACAGGTCAAAAATGGGTCAATCTCGGTTTTCAGGTTAAAACGGGTTATCATGTCAAAATGGGTCACTTTTGGGTTAAAGGATTAATCCGACCCAATTTTTAAAACAGGTCGAATTGTTGAACCCGAAACGACCCATTGCGGGTCTGAGTTGACCCTAACCCGAAATTTTCAGGTCGGGTTCGAGTCGGGTTTTCGGGTCGTGTCAAATAGTGACACTCCTATGTTTAATTGAATATGTGGATGTTCGGACTGCTGGAGTCAGGGCCTGTTGGAGGAAGCATTATTCTGTGCGGACGTTGAAAGCCATCTAGAGACCAACCAGAATGCACCACGTCACCTCCTGCTCGGTATCCGGCTCAGTACCGCGGCTCGGTATCGCTCGGTACCCGGCTCGGCACTGCTGACATGACGCATTCTGGTTGGTCCCCGAATGATAAACTGCATTCAACGTCCGCAAAGAATAATTTCTCCTGTATGAGTGCATGTCAATGAGGGTATGCCAAATAAAGCACTCGCCCGGCAATATTATTGTTGCGTCCTGGAGTATTCGCGGCGATAGAGAATTATAAAGTTTAGCGTCTTAGCGTTGTACGAAGATCCAACACACAAGCAGATAAGTGAGAGGGTGTAGCGTTCATAAGAGACACTAGAGTTTTTACGTGGAAACCCCTAAAAAGGGGGAAAAACCACGGGCCTGGCCCAGTTTGAATGAATCCACTAGTATTTGCAGTCGATTACAAATGAGGCCCTTCCTTGGGAGAAGGCCTTGGATTGATGTAACAATGTACATCATATAGATTGCATTACATGGTGGGAGTTACATATACATGTTTGTTTGGCCTGAAGGACCGTAGTCGGCAGGAGACCGTAGTCGGCAGGAAACCGGGGGATGTGGCGCATTCTGATTGGTCTTCAAACGGTATATCAAAAAGATCGCATAAACAATAAAAGGTGAAAGATGGAAAGACCGGAATATCAAAAAGATCGCATAAACAATCAAAGAAAAGGATCTTCATGGCTGTTAAAATCAACTATTTTACCAGAATTCTTATAGCAAAAAGTCAATGGTGTATAGCCAGCCAAATGGTCACTCAATCCTGTGATGGCAAGTATCAAGAACATAACGGTTCAACTGATCTCCAAATGTCTTGGTGGAGAACATTTCTGCGACATGGAGACGTGCTTCTTTACCCATCCTTACAGCAAGCTCACCGTCGGACAATAGCTTGGCCATGGCCTTTGAGAATTCTGAAGGGGTTGGTTCACACAGAAAACCTGTAACCTCATTCTTGACCGTCTCCATAGGTCCTCCACTGTTGCATGCAATAACAGGCTTCTGTGAAGCCATTGCTTCCAGGGGTACAATACCGAAATGTTCATTCTACAAAAATTGAACAGAAACCAAATGGTTTATAGACGCCAATAAGAGTAGATGCAAATAATGCAGAAGGAGAACTAAGGAAAAATAATAAACTAAATATAGCATGACTAAAAGTATAAAAGTTTTTTTTTTTTTTTTTTGGAAAAATAAAGGTAATATCGCATATGGCAGGCAATAATGATAAATGGAAAGGAAGACCATTAAAATGGGCCCAACTAGTTGGACTATACGCTTCGTTTGAGTCATTTGAGACATTTTAAAACTAATTTTGGTTTTCATTTGGATGAAAAAATGTACAGATTTTTCTTTATTTTATCCAAAATTTATTTCAAAGTTGCACGCAGCTCACTTTGATCTGTTGGTTACTTGGTTGGGAGCTTTGGCTATCAACCAAGAGATTTTGAGTTTGAGTCTTGCGTATGTGATGTATGTATGAGTTTGTTTTAATTGCCCTAAATGTCCCCCACCAAAAAAACTTTAAAGCTCTTTGGGAAAAAGCGGCAGAAAATGTAATTGAGAAAGTAACTTCAAAATGTTTTGACGGCAAAAAAAAAAAGGCATAAGCAACTCCAAACGAATAATGATGATAAGTAGGTTTAGAAGAATTAATGGATGTTTCATGATTTTGCTTCGCAATAAAGATAAAACAGATGAATATACAAAAACTAGTAACAGGGTTGGCAATCTCGTGCTGTTTCTATGATACAAGGTACATGGCTGCTAGACACCAAGGAATTTTCTTTTGGAGAGATGCATACCGACAGTTGTTATCTTTCGTAGAAGATTTGGGGTGTGCTTTCAGTGTGTGTTTTTGGTAAGAAATTTAATCTCCGAATGATGAATTTAGAATGATTTTAAGTTTTTTTCAGTTTCTTTTAAAAGAGACGCGCATTACTTGTCGGTCTCTAGCAGATTTCAAGAGACTGCCTATGCTTACAGGATAAATGATTTAGAAAGCTTAAGCAGCAATGACATTAACCGACCATTGGAAAAGAAGGCAATTTGTAAGGAACTATCAAGTGTTTGACAGTTCCGACAACTGGTGACAATGTCGACTTTCCTATAAGACTATCAAAAAAGGGGGCATACTTTGTGCATGAAGCTTCCCGCCAACGCAATGTCATAAGAGATTAAGGTAAACAGGCTTAACTCAGCATTATAGAGACATTGTTTCCATGATTTGAACCAATGACTTTTATATCACAACCTAACTATTGCTATAATCCCACATTGTAAGGGAATATCATGACCCTAAAAAAATAAAATAAAGGGGATTTGCATAACTAGCACTTAAAATTTTTACATTTGTATATTTAACACCTAAATTTTACTATTTACATACATAACTCTCAATATATCAAAAACACCTCTTTCATTATAATCCATCACACACTAACCGCACTGCTCATCCCACTCTTTAACGGTTGATCTCCATTGCCACCATCACCAAACACATCGTCAGTCTCTGTTGTCCCCCAGATTTGTCCTAGAACAAAACCCTAGATCCCATTAAAATCATTTTTGGCTTAACGCCACCTCCAATATCCGCCACTTCCATTTGTAGCATGTTGCTCCTAATACTCAGCCTCGAATCTACCCCACCTTCATCCTTGACACCATCCTGCAAAAATTTATGATATAAAATACAACTTTCAATCTCCATCCATCTAGCTGCAACTTCATGTCGTCATCGTCCTCATCTCAGATCCATCGACATCACCACATCTTCCATCTCCAACCATCCTGATCATGATAGTTAACTCTGTTAACAAAGTGTTATGATATGTAAATAGTGAAGTTTAGTTGTTAAATATAAATGCGATTATTTTAAGTACTATGTATGTAAATTCCTTTAAAATAAAATATGATAATTTTCCAAATTTACTAGATTTCAATGAAGTTATGGTCCAAATAGAGTGGAATGTGCTTAACAATTGAATGATGTTGTGGGGACTAACAAATTTGGTTGATTAGGACCTTCAAAGTTATTGCAAATATATTAAATTCAATTATTGCCTATGCCATAATAATAACTTCCCATCAAATGGACTTTCAGATGGGCAAAAAAAAACTATTGAATGATGATGCATGTTATGGAAACTCATAAACGATTAAGATTGCTGAATTAATTATTAGATTTTCTTCCATCTAAAAGAACCACCTTCATGGCATGAAAACTGTATAATGCTTCCACGGAATAAAATAGCGTGAATAAAATTTGTGTTCGTTTATTTCTTCTTATTGTTTAAAAAACAAAAAATAGGACTAGGTTTCTTGTGACATTTAAGCACTAGATGACATAAATAAATTGATGAATTATTGTATACTTAGGAAAAATACTGATACATATATTTGGTTGATTGCATAAAAAAATACCAAGAGATGGCTTCCTAAAAAGAATGAGTCATTTTCCATAGCAGAAAAAAAGGGATAGGAAGTCTCAACTAACCTCTGGAGTGTACAAAACACACAAACATTGGGAGAGTAATGCGTTTCTTTCTTGTGTCGAGCAGGAAGTGACAAACATGACCCTATTTGACACTCCATTTACTTCTGCCAACTGTTTAAGCTCTTCTAGGTACTCCACATTTTCATTCAGACGTTTATCAAAACCACCTGAATAAAGTAGGGTTATTCTATATCAATATACTCATCTCAATTTAAGAAAACACAACATCAATAATAACATCAAGCCTTTATCTAGCTACATGGGATCGACTATATGAATTATGGTTCTCCATTTTGTTCTATTAAAGGTCAAATTCTCATTTAAATCAAATAAAAAAAGTCACTTCCAATACTTTCTAACCAAGTTTATTAGGTCTACCTCTACCTTTCTTAATATATTCCAAATCTAATACACCCTACTCTCCTAACGGGGTCATCAGGAGGTGACGTTTTATGCGACAAAACCATCTAAGCCGACTTTTTCTGATCATATCTACCACTGGAGCTACTCCAAACCTTTTCAAGAAAAAGTGGAAGAGATGGGGAAAAAAATGTTATGATGTCTTATGCCAATGACAAGAAAGAATCAAAGAACTGTGTACAAACAGAATCTCAACAACTTAATGACTGCTGAAAACATTAAATGCAACCACAGCTACCTTTTACATTTTCAACACAAAACAATAAATAAAAAAATATAAAACTACAGCTATTATTTATAATTCAAACACTCTATATAGATCATGTGCCTAGCTTCTATAATGTGGTTTAAGCCTGATGTTCCTTTACTATATTGAAGGATGCAAATGACAACATTCCAAAGACTGTCGCATGAACATTGTAGATACTACTACAGTTTTAGAAAATGAAACATTCAAATAAATAATTGTAAGACAATTCAATTTCTTAACAATTCTTCCTTATCCATCTGGATTGGATAAAGGCTCCCCAAAATCAAGTACAAGTTTAACATTCAAATCCATATAATCCAACATGCTTGTCTCCAAAAAAATATCTAACACATAATTTCTTTGAAACTCAACAACACCAAAACTCTATTCAGCTAAATCAAACCCTAGAGAATACTCATTTTTGCCTAAATCTTGCCAAATCTTTGTTTCAAGATGAATAAAGAGGAGTGGTTTTAACTGATAAATACATTACGTAATAACTAGATTATATATATATGACAATAAAAAATAGATACACCAATCAAGAGAAATATGACAATAAAAAATAGACTGATATTCCACGCTATGAATGATATCAGAACTCCTGAACAATTGTGTAGAATCATTCAAACTAAGTTTATGAAGATAGTTTCCAGGTCATAGAGAGATAGTGCAAACATCTTGATGTAGGCGCGGGGGGGGGGGCAAATAATGTGCCTTAGTTTTTGTGTCGATTTTAAGATATATGGTTGTAAGTTTGTTTTGTTTCTCTCTAGATAAGGAAATGGTTTTGATAATTGAGAACTCTCTAAGGAACTAAACATTTTGTAGTATTAAAGGAGTTGGTCAGCATTTAAAAAAAGGAGTTGAGAGTTGCTAGATTTATCAAAGCTTCTGATGAGCATCAGTTTGTGGCCCGTGAAATCATGAGCAGGATAATGCCAATGTTAGGGATTTTTTGCTAGCAAGGAGGCGGCGCAAGTGGAGGTGTCGCCCGTAGTGTAAAACCCGAAAATGTTGTTCGAATGCGCCGCACGCATTTCGATGCGCCGCGACAAATTTAAGCAAAATTTCAAAGTCGTCGGAATTCGATGAAATAAATTTTATTAAATTGTATACGAAATTTCGATCAAAATGGTATAAAGAACATATATCAAATTTCGCTCGGTTTGAGAATTAAAATTTGTCGAAGATGGTTTAAGTAAACTTTTACCCTTTCTTCCATTTTTACCCCTCATGAGATAAAAGAGAAGGGAATGAGGGGCACATGCGTAATTGATCCCTTAATTTTCCCTTAACTCTCTCATTTCACATAGGGACCGATTGAATCGGTCCCTTGTTCTTTCCTTCGGCCGAAAGAGAGGAGCGGACGGGAGAGAGGGGGAGACCGTCGGGGGACGCACGGAATCCGGCGGCGGCGGCTATTTTCCGGCGAGCTTTTGGAAGAAAATCAAAGGGAAGGCTTAGGGAAGAAGAGAGGTAAGTTTTTCATGCAAGAAACTTCCCTCTTTCAAGAGATTTTGCTTGGAGAAATTTTTAGGGTTTTTGAAATTTTTGAAGTTTGTTAAGGAAGAGAGTATATGAAGTTGAGGGAATGTTTTCATGTAAAGAATTTATGTGTTTCCCTAATTTTTTTTAGGTTTCAAATTAGGGTTTTAGCTTATTTGATGGGGATTTCATAGGAAAGTGTTAGGGCTTGTATGTGTGCATACTCTAAAGTAAGAAAAATGAATTTTTATGAAGAAAATTGTAGGTTAAAAAATTTAGGATTTGGTGAAAATTTTATTTTGTTCTAAGAATGATGTTAGGAAGGATTTAGAAGCATAATTACCTTAAAATCCAAAGTTTTCCTTAAGAAATTTTGGAGTTTTCACTTTAGGGCTTTCCAAATTTTCAATTTGTAAGCTTTGAGATAACCAAATTCATTTCTAAGAGACTTGGGAAATCTCTAATGAAGAAAAAATGAGAATTTGGAAAGAAAAAAAATATATATTTTTATATAATTTTAATCCAAAAATAATTTATTTAAAATCATGAATTGTATCGGGTTGATGATGTATAAATGCTATCTTATGTTGTTGTTGTTGTTGTTATTGTTATACCCCTTTTACCTTTGAGGATATGGATAGGAGGAGTATAATGAGCTTAAGGGGAGTACTTAGCTATGGAATGTGTAGGGTTTGTGTGATATAGTGGTTTAAATTTACATAAGAGACTTATGTTATAATGTTTCCCTTAGATTTTGAAAAGAATAAGGAGAGGTTGGTGAAGTGAAGGCTTTCAAAGGGTAATTGAGGTACGTATCTCTTACTCTACATATTCTTGCTCATTTATGTTTTATTCTTTAGTTGATTTGATATATAGCAAATACATATCTTTAATTGATTTGATACATAACAAATATATATATTTTTAGTTGATTTGATACATAGCAAATACATATCTTTAGTTGATTTGATACATAGCAAATGCATAGTTGATGTTTAAAACTCTAAGCATTTCATAGAATTTTCTTTCATGCACTTACTTCATGCTCAAGACAAATGGTTGTTATAAAAAGGCTACATTACATACATATATCTCTATGAAAAGATTATGTAAATGATTGTGCATGTTAAAGACAGAGTACCAAATACAGTGCAAATGTACAAATATGACTCTTATGAGCAATACGGAACAATATGGCCCTTTGGGGCAAAAGAGGAAAAGAAATGAAAGGCCAAAAAGATGTTTGTGTACCTGATAAGTACACTCCTGGTACTCCGGTATGGTTGTATAAAATAAAACATGAGTAAGCATATGACATACATAAGATATGACATATATAAGCTATGACATCCATAAGGCACATGGCATGCATATGTCATATGACATACATAAGACACATGATATACATAAGGCATCTAACATTCATAAGACATGAAAACTAGCATGTGTATAAAATAAATCGAGATTTTTCACATCTAGCATATATGTAAATCTTCTTTTATTAAAGGCATGTGAAAATGTTAAGGTTAGAGTTTACCTATTGAGCGTTAGCTTACTCCCTAGTGTTAGAATACTTTTCAAGAGAACCAGCTGCAAAGAATGGCTGACCACCCTTAGTTCACCTACAGTCGTAGAGGACCAGCTGACATTTCTTTTTATGTTTTTCTTAGTAGTAGTTTACACCTTTTTGGATGGTTTAGCATGAATGTTAAGTTTTGTAACCACCTTTGTACATGTTAAATGATATGAAGTGTTTATCATATATTAGGAAAAACTTTTAGAGGCGCTTTTAGTTTCTTGTGGAGTATTTTAGATTAATTCAATGCATGTTTTAAGAAAGGTTTATGTTCTGAACGTCCGATTCCGTTCCCGCCTCGTCTACAAGAGCTCACCAGGCAGGGTCGTGACACGTAGGAAGGTTAAGTTTGTAAATGAAATGTTTATTATATATTAGGAAAAAAAATTTAGAGGCACTTTTAATTTCTTGTGGATTATTTTAGATTAATTCAATGCATGTTTTAAGAAAGGTTTATGTTCTGAATGTCCGATTCCGTTCCCGCCTCGTCTACACGAGCTCACCAGGCCGGGTCGTGACGCATAGGAAGGTGAAGTTTGTAAACAAGAGATCATAGGTAAAGGATCTACTCACGAGGGAGTCACAAATAGTGTTTCTCGTCAATGGTGACAATAAAAGTAAACACATCAACTTGCATGCAACAAAGAGAAGGGAGCGCGAAGAGGCATTTGCAAGAAAAAGAGAGAAACATAAGAAAAAAATTATAGTATTGTCTTTTGGCAAGCAAGCAAAAGAAAAATATATCCATACAAAAAAAAAATCTCAACTCTAATGAAAGCCAAAAACATTAAACACAAATACAGCTACTTTTTACATTTCAACAATAGTAAATATAATAGCTACTCTCTGTAATCCCAAGCAAATAAATCAAGACTAAAAAGAATAATGTTTTCCATCATCATTTTGCCATGTCACAAACATTTGGGTCGGCCAATAAAATCTATATGCCAGGGTTAATATGGGCTTCAAACAAGGTTCTATAAAACAGCAACACATATCGTCACTTAATACTTAGAATGAGCAGCATTTAAATCCTATCTCTATGCCACCTAAGATGATGTAATTTACAACAAAATGAAAGCTCAATCAACATATTGGCAGTAAATTTCTTGCCAAATCCAGTATTCCACTTTGTATTTTGTCGATTTTACTACTTAACAAAGGTCATAGATAGGTGCCATTTAATTTCAAAAATCTACTGATCCCCTATTCAGTAATTCCATGTGACACTCTAGTTAGGCCTCAGATTTCTCTCTTTTGGCCTTAAACGTAACAGTATAGCTTTATCATGCCGAAAACATTTTATCAGATGCTTAGATTTTAACTAATTTTCCAAACATACCAGCAATTGTCAAAGTTGCCCCATATGAATTAGTACCAGAATAAGATAGCAATGCGAACGCTGAAATTGCCAACTGCAGGTTTTTTTTCCTTTCAAAACGGTTAATTGAAAGAAAATTGGGCCTGCAATAAAAGTAATAATGATGATAAGAATCTAGCATATGATATCGACAAATAAAGATTTTGCAATGTTCTGACATTGAATGCTACAAGCTACTAGAGAGAAATAAAGCCATGTTAGTTACTTATAGCTGCATTGTTCACTGAATTGTGACACATTAACTGCAGGATAAAGAACAGCTGGTTCTATTCCTCTCGAATGAAGGCCTCTGAAAGTAGTGGCAAATGTAGATTTAGTAAATCTACTATTAACAAGAATCAAATTCGCCATACCTGCAAGTACCTTTAATTAGCCAGGGAACTTATCAATGGGAATGCAAAATAAACACTGGGGCACGTGAACAAATCAAAGCTAAATGAAATAAAGCAAACCAGTAGTCTTCTCTTCAAGCAGGTCGATTGGTTTGCGGTACATCCTTCTAAGCCATGTGGTATGTTGAGCAAGTAACAAATCTGGAAAATGGCAGTAGAATATTACCTAAGAAACAAACTATATTAAACTAAATATCACAGATAAGAATGTTTTCAAATCAAGTAGGTAGAGAATTTACTTTTCCCGGCCTTTTCAATTTCAACAAAGGAACAACAACAGAAACTTGGTCTGCCAGTATAATGTCGAATGATGGCCACATGAAAAGCACACAAAGGGTAACAAAAATGCATCGAATATAAGCACAGACCGCATGAAACCGGTAGAAAAGATGGCGAGGCAGGAAACTGCCATATACTGCCACCTGAAATTTTCCTGAACAAGAAGAAACCATGGAAATAAGTCGCAGCATTAACTATAGAAGGAAAAATGTTGAGACATTCAACTTCATAACAAAGTGCAAGAGCAAGTGTAGAATGAAAGAAAACTTATGCTACTATAATAAATGTGGCGTAGAATTTTCCCGATATTAAATCTTAATCTTTCATTTTATTTAATTTGATTTTATGATTTCAATCATAATCATGCAATATTGAATAGAAAATCTTAATATGTAATTAAAGAATAATAATTACAAAATTATATTGCTGTTAATTAATGAAATTTTTTTATTTCCTTTAAATTCCATATATTGAAATTCTAGAACTGTAAAATGTAACGTTATGCATTTATTTATACTTATATAATTGCATGTGGATAAATTTAAAATTTATAAAATTTTAAAGAACAAAATTAATTTGTTTTAAAAGAAATATTTAGTAAAATTATCATTACAAGTAATTATAACAATGATCATATTAATAAAAATTTAGATAAATAATCTTAAAACTATTAAATCTCAGTCGTCCCTTGACACTTGATCCTTCAACCAAGATGAGAATCCGTGGGAGGCTCACCTAGATCATGCCAATATTTGTTAAATCTCAGTCGTCCCTTGACACTTGATCCCATGGCCAAGATGGGAATCCGTGGGAGGCTCATGTGGATCACGCTGATATTCTTCCATATTTTGGTGGCTGATTTAGGAAGAATTATATTAGGACAATTATGTGTGATTCTGTATGTATTTGTTTCTTTATTAAGATATCTTATATAGATCTATAAATAAGGATAGTTTTGTATGATGAAATTAAGCAGCTTTTTCCCTCTCCAAGTATCTAAATTTAATATGGTATCATAGCAAGGCATTTATATCTTCTTCAAAAATGAAAGCGTGAGAGAGGGAGAGCTGGTTCTTGCGTTCTGTTCTCTCTTGTGTGCATCCAGGGCAACCGAGCAAGTGAGAGGGCTTCCCCTTTGCGGTCTTCCGTATACGACTCTCATGTATGCCTACCTGGGGGGCCGAACTGAGTGAAGTATAGGATCAAGAGGGGGAGCGAGTAGGAACTGCATACACGCGTGCCCGAGGGGAGGCGACCAGCCCTCGTGCGTGTGCGAGAGCCAAACCGAACAAGGAACGATCCGCTACCCTCAGATCTGTGAGATGTACAAGAAAGTTGAAGCCTCCTTCTGAACAGCAGAAGAAGTTGAACTCTCCCAAGATCTCTGCCACCAAGATCAATCCCTCAAATCAGACGAACGCCACTTTGTAACCCACGTTCTCGCCTTCTTCGTTGTCGAAGACATAATCGTCATTGTGAACCTTGCCGGTCAAATTTGAACTAAAGTCGGTTCGCTATATTCGAAGCTCACTGATGGAACAGTCCTGATAGGTGGAGTTTCCCAGACGATGCGCAATGGAGAAGATGGATTTCTTGGTGATAAGGTAGTTCGTTGCTACGGTCCAGTACTACACTCCATTATAGTACTGCTTATCATCCTCAGACAAACGGCCAAACTGAGATTCTCAACCATTGCATAGAACAATATCTGCGTGCCTTTACCTCTACTATTCAATTATTGTCCATCTTTCTTTGTTGGGTTGAATTCAGTTACAACACTTCATTCCACACTGCTATCAGATGACTCCTTACCAGGCTTTATATGGTAAACCCTCTCCCTCCATCCTAGCATATATATTATTGACTCATTATTATCTAATTGTATTAGACTATTACAGACTTAAACAGGTAGTCTTGCAATAGACACTCACTAACCCAAAAGATGAAACATAGGAAAAATCTCCAGCTCTTGCTACCTCCTTTCCATCTCTCAACCCTGAGGACAAGGTTATTTTTCATGACAATGGGAGTGTGATACGCCTTAGGTTTCACAAATTAGGGTTTGCCCTAATTTTCCTTCAAGATGAAATTTCTCCTCCAAATCCAAGAAAAAATCAACACAAGAGGGATGAGAGGAAGAACAAGAACATTTGCATTCAAAATCCAAGAGAAACAAGATACAATTTGTCCACTTCGAGAAGGACAAGGTCTCCCACTACAAACCCTAGAAAAAACAAGAGAAAGAAACTAAGGAGGCTAAGAGAAAACTCAAATCTTGCATAACCCTAGAAATCCCCCCTTAATCCCTACTTATAGCAAGCAAAAGGCCAAACCAAACCCACTAGTGGGCTGAAATGTGGCTTAGAATTTTCCCCATATTAAATCTTAATCTTTCATTTTATTTAATTTGATTTTATGATTTCAATCATAATCATGCAATATTGAATAGAAAATCTTATTATGTAATTAAAGAATATTAATTACAAAATTATATTGCTGTTAATTAATGAAATTTTTTTATTTCTTTTAAATTCCATATATTGAAATTCTAGAACCGTAAAATGTAAAGTTATGCATTTATTTATACTTATATAATTGCATGTGGATAAATTTAAAATTTATAAATTTTAAAGAACAAAATTAATTTGTTTTAAAATAAATATTAAGTAAAATTATCATTACAAGTAATTATAACAATGATCATATTAATAAAAATTTAGATAAATAATCTTAAAACTATTAAATCCCAGTCGTCCCTCGACACTTGATCCTTCAACCAAGATGAGAATCCGTGGGAGGCTCACCTGGATCATGCCAATATTTGTTAAATCTCAGTCGTCCCTTGACTAGGGGTGTAAACGACTCGAGTCGAGTCGAGTTTTGACGCTATCGAGCTCGGCTCGTCAGTCAGAAAGCGAGCTCGAACTCGAGCTCGAGCTCGAGTCGAGCTCGAAAGGTGAGCTCGAACTCGAGCTCGTTCCACCGTTAACGAGTTCGAGCCGGCTCGCGAGCCTCGGCAGTCCGGACAACCTTCGAGCGAGTCGTCTTCCTTCCAGCGAGTCGTCTTCCTCGTCCGCGTCATCCACGACCGCGTCAAGCTTGCCATTGGAGAAGAAGATTTAGGCGTTGAGCATTAAAAATAAAATATACTTTTTTTTCTTATGGGGATAAGAGTGAGCTGAGATAATTAATGAGTTTTGAAAAAAACCAAAAGAAGCAGCAGCTTTTCATCTTCCCAAAAAAATAAGAGCAGCTGCATGTCAGGCTTTTTCATTGGTTTGATAAATAAAATTAACATTATATATATTTTTTATGTTAAGAAATACCGAAATGGTATTTTTTTTTTTCATTTTTTTAGGAATTGCCGGTTTGACCATTTTAATTTTTGGAAATCCCCCGCTGGAAATCCCGCCTTCCTGGAAATCCCGCCCGCTTGAAATCACGCCTTTGGCCAATCGAGCTTGGCTCGCGAGCTTCGAGCCGAGCTGTCATCGAGCTCGAACTCGAGCTCGTTTAACAAACGAGCTCGAGTTTAAGCTCGAGCTCGAGCTCGCGGCTCGATAAGCTCGGCTCACAAGCTCATTATCGAGTCGAGTTCGAGCCGGCTCACGAGCCGACTCGGCTCACTTACACCCCTACCCTTGACACTTGATCCCATGGCCAAGATGGGAATCCGTGGGAGGCTCACGTGGATCACGCTGATATTCTTCCATATTTTGGTGGCTGATTTAGGAAGAATTATATTAGGACAATTATGTGTGATTCTGTATGTATTTGTTTCTTTATTAAGATATCTTGTATAGATCTATAAATAGGGATAGTTTTGTATGATGAAATTAAGAAGCTTTTTCCCTCTCCAAGTATCTAAATTTAATATGGTATCATAGCAAGGCATTTATCTCTTCAAAAATGAAAGCGTGAGAGAGGGAGAGCTGGTTCTTGCGTTATGTTCTCTCTTGTGTGCATCTAGGGCAACCGAGCAAGTGAGAGGGCTTTCCCTTTGCGGTCTTCCGTGTACAACTCTCATGTATGCCTACCTGGGGGGGCCGAACCGAGTAAAGTATAGGATCAAGAGAGGGAGCGAGTAGGAACTGCATACACGCGTGCCCAAGGGGAGGCGACCAGCCCTCGTGCATGTGCGAGAGCCAAACCGAACAAGGAACAAGCGGTTGAACAATCCGCTACCCTGAGATCTGTGACATGTACAAGAAGGCTGAAGCCTCCTTCTGAACAGCAAAAGAAGTTGACCTCTCCCAAGATCTCTGCCACCAGGATCAATCCCTCAAATCAGACGAAAGCCACTTTGTAACCCACGTTCTCGCCTTCTTCGTTGTCGATGACAGAATCGTCATTGTGAAGCTTGCCGGTCAAATTTGAACTATAGTCGGTTCGCTATATTCAAAGCTCACTGATGGAACAGTCCTGATAGGTAGAGTTTCCCAGACGATGCGCAATGGAGAAGATGGATTTCTTGGTGATAAGGTAGTTCGCTGCTACGGTCCAGTACATGCTTACAATGATCAAAGAGTTGGTGAGCATGCATATGGTGAAGTACACTACTTCCCTAAGTACTGAGTCGATCGTGGATATCAACAGTGAGGCTATAGAGATATTGAAAGCACTTTATCCTGCCCTAAAAGATCTAGCACTTATTGGTTCTCCGGATTCCCACCACCGGCCTTCATTGTCGAAATTCCGAAAAATACAATTTCCCATCACCACCCTTCATTGTTGGAATTATGAAGAATACAGGTTCCCATCACCAACCTTCATTGTCAAAATTCTAAGGAATACAGGTTTCCACCACCAGCCTTCAATACTAGAATTCTGAGGAATACAGGTTCCCACCACTGGCCTTCACCGGCCAATCTATGGATTTCATTAATGAATTTCTAACATCAAAAGGATACATTGTTATTTTCGTCGTTACCGAGCGCCTCTCTAAATATGCTCATTTTGGACCCCTACCTACAAATCATTATGCCTCTCCAATAGCTTATCTCTTTGCTCATATGGTAGTTTGCTTGCATGATTTTCCTAAAACAATAGTGTCTGATTGAGATAGCATTTTTAAGTAACCTTTGGTGCCATTTGTTTGCTTTAAGTGGTACTACACTCCATTATAGTACTGCTTATCATCCTCAGACAAACGGCCGAACTGAGATTCTCAACCATTGCATAAAAGAATATCTGCGTGCCTTTACCTCTACTACTCAATTATTGTCCATCTTTCTTTGTTGGGTTGAATTCAATTACAACACTTCATTCCACACTGCTATTCAGATGACTCCTTACCAGGATTTATATGGTAAACCCCCTCCCTCCATCCTAGCATATATATTATTGACTCATTATTATCTAATTGTACTAGACTATTACAGACTTAAACAGGTAGTCTTGCAATAGACACTCACTAACCCAGAAGATGAAACATAGGAAAAATCTCCAGCTCTTGCTACCTCCTTTCCATCTCTCAACCCTGAGGACAAGGTTATTTTTCATGATAATGGGAGTGTTAAGAAACAACATATTCAATGGGACAAAGACGGTGCAGGAATATTGCAATAATTGGATTCAATACTTGGAAGAACAATCAAAAGACAACAAGAAGATTATAAAGATTTTCAAAGAAGAGGAAAAAAATGAAGGACACAAACACATCTCCACAAAAATAGACAGCAAGCTGTCAAGTACTATATGTATTCTAAATAATGTTTTAATACAATTTTCTTTTATTTACAGTTTTGCTCAGCCGGTCTAATAAATGACTCAATGGGTTTGGTTCGCTGTTTTGTCTATAAATAGTTCTCATATGACTGTTAACTTTTGGATGGAATAAATAATTTTTGTTTTCTCTCATATTTTTCTCTTATGTCTTGGAGTTTGCACCTACTCAAAAGGTGTCTTCTCTTCTTGCTCCATCAAGAAGCATAACACGGCTCCACACAACAAGTCAACGACTTCTTATCTGGTAAGATGATAACTCCTTGCAACGAGTGGGTGATTTCAACATCATCACATAGCAAGATAGGGACCCATCAACATCCGTCCATATGCATGGTGATTCATGAGTATATATATATATATATATCCTTGGCTAATACATTTTAGGCTACAAAACTCATGTATCATGTGTTATTTGATTAATTTTCATGTTTAACTTCTCGTATAGGTCGCTTGACCCTCACAAATGGGGTTGAGAGGCATTTTTGCAATGTCACATCTTTATTGTTTGTAAAAAATAGTAAATCCCCAAAGCTTCTCTCTTTAGATTTTGGCATTTCTTTCTCTCTCTCTCTCAGTTCATTTTTACTAGCCATTCGATTGAAACCTTGTCAGTCCAATGAGTAAGGTTCTGGTGTCATCCATGAATAAATCAAGATCCAATGGATTTCTTAAAATAATTTTAAAGAGAAGGATGGAATTCTAATCATAGTAAATGGTATTTGTCTATCCATGCTAAACATCATAACTCTATACATAAAACTTCATGCGGAAATATTACTACTTTAATTTCAATATAATCAAGCCCTACATCTATAAACTATCAATTATTACACAATAACTTTAAAATCAATTGTGATTAAATACTTATAGCTTGTCAAAAGAGAAAAATGAAAAAGACGACATTTTTTATAAATTATCAAACAAAATAAATAATATGAATTCTTACGATAAAGCAATTAGAGCATGTGATCATTTAGATATACTCCTCCACAAACTCAATGTGAGATAGAAAAAGTTAACTAGAGTTTTAAAATAGCAATGATCAAAGATGTAATCAAAAAAATTTTGTAGCCAAAACATTGCAAGGGTCGCAAAATAAATTTAATCAATTGGTCACAGAGAGTAATATGAATCGAAACAACAAAATTCATGTAAGGGGCGGCACTAATAAAATCCTTGAATGGAGAAAATATCAATAACGAGAGTTGACAAAGAGCATCATCGCAAGGGATCTAATAGAGAGCATTGACTAATTGAGAACAAAGTTCATCAATGCAAACGCCACCGAAGAACTAAGGAGATTGAAGAGGTGTATAGATATGGACCAAATGACTTAGTGGTTGACAATAAAGACTATAAACTAAGAAAAAGTCAAATCTAGAGTAAAAAAATGGATGGGCAGATTTATGTTGCAATGTGAGTCACAATTTAAAGGCAACTAGGCAGACAAATTTAGAGTCGTAAGAACTATTATCAAGTTAAAAGAGATATAATAGGGAAAGACACGCCTGTACAAGTAAATATCTACTTATACACAAGCAAGAGAAGAAAATAATAAAAAATAAAATGAAATGAAAGAATATCTCAATATCAGGAAAATATTATAATAATAAATAATATAGACTCCTATTATAAATAAATAAGCATATCTGAGAATTTTGACATCATAGCATGACCAACTCTACTTACGTTTTCTATTGAAAAGATTTTTTTTTCAAATCCATTTTCAAAGCAAATGCCCCTTAATATTTGTCTAAGAATCAAAGGATCAAGTAATGGGAAGTAGTAAGCAATCACAACATTCTTCTCGAGAAAGAGTAGCGGTGCTTGAGACTGTGTGGGGAAAGCTATGAACAAGAAGAACAAAAATCCAGAATTGTTCATTATCCATTTTCAATACAAAAACAAAAAAAAAATTAAACACCTCACCAGACATGGTTTCCTCAAAGCAACGGCTTTTGTCATGGTGAGCAGTGAAAACATGAACATTATGCCCATGTGAAGCAAGTTCAACAGCTGCATCAACAATTAATCTTTCAGCCCCACCTACATACAGAAAAAACTATATTTTTTATGCATGAAAAAAGGCAAGAGATCACAATGCTTGCAAGGGATAATTGAGGACCACAAGGATTCATTGCAATCTTGTATAAACGAAGAGAAAACTCCTCCTAAACTTGTATATATGTTTATTTTCTGCAATATATGCTCATATCATTTGTTGAGATGAAAGAAAATGATTCTCAATAGCATCGTCTTTCTCAGTCTTCTTGCTAATTGTTAGTTAATAAAATCATCATTTACATAATTCAAGAAAACAAGCTAGCTGAGAAAAAGGAGGAAACAACAAAACAATAACAACAAACAATTTCTATCTTCCAAGAGCAAGGACAGCATCAGTCCTAAAATATATGTGAATGAAGACATCACAAACAATGAAATAAAAGCTTTGTTTTTTCTTTGAGAAAAGAACATCTAAGCTCTGTAATGATATTAAATTACATTTCCTTACAACATTCCGTGGAAAATCCAATCTTTTATTCACATTACAGCTATCTTTCCAAATTCCACCATTTCACCTATATCTAAATCTGTTTTTCAAGTGAATCAACAAAATAGAAAAGCATTCCTTCAAGTAATTTCCTTATGACATGGACATAGTCACACTTGCAAATCTTTAGCAATGTAATATTAAGTCAGGATTTGGAAAATTGTTGACAATAATCCATGGGTCAACAAAAACATTTCCATTAGAGCTCTGTGTTACGCCGGCCCAGGAGGGCCCGGTCCAAGTTTACAGCCGGCAGAAGCCAGGCCAGGGGGGGGGGAACAGCCAAGGGGGGCCCACGTGGAATTAAATCCAATTTTGGGGGAAAATTTTAAATGAGAAGGGTAATTAGGACATGGAATTTGAATGAGAAGGGTAATTAGGACATTTGTAATCCTCCTTTCATGATTAATTAGGGGGAATAGGGGGGATTTGGGAGTTATCTTGAATTTGAATGTTATTTGAGATCTAGGATTTTTGTTCTTGGGCTCTAGACTACGGCTAGAGATTTGGAGAGTTTTTCCTTCCTCTCGAATTGAAGGAAAACTGTATCTTGCTTGTTGTTTGCATCTACTGGTGGAATACAATCGTTTGCAATTGTTTTCCTACGTTTTCCCTCAGTTTTTCTTCAGTTTTCCGCTGTTTTCACTGTTTTCCTGTGCCGGACAGCAATTTGCTTGGAGAGTTGTTTCAAAAAGTGCATAGGAAATACTTGATTTCAAGTATTTCCTATCAAATTGGTATCAAAGCGTCGTTTTGGGATCACCAGCGGCTGAAATTCTGAAATTTCAGCAAGTTTTCGTTTCCGGAAGAAGATTTTTTGGGATCCGTTTGAAGAACGATGGCCGGGAAGAAGGTAGACATCTTGGAAGGCGAAGTCGGTCAATTGAAAACTGATTTGGAGGAAAGATTTTTTTTATTTTCAAAATCAAATCACCACCAACAATGAAAGGTTGGAGGGAAAATTCACGACCATGGAAGAAATGATGAAGAAATTATTGGAGATGAAGACTAATCCAACGGCGTCGGAAGCAAGAGAGACTACCGGAGACCACGGCGTAGGAGGAAATCCGAACCCGCTTAGGGGAAGTAGGAATCAGGATGTAGAGATCCTTGAGGGAGAAGACGACATGCCACCTCTAGAGCCACTTTCTAGGGAGGAGATGAGCATGGGAAATGATCGAAGAGGTGCTGATTTTAGCGGAAGAAGAGGGGAATTTCAGCGTCGAGGTGCTGATTTTGAAGGTAGAAGAGGGGAATATGACGAAAGTGCAGATTTTGGCGGAAGAAGAGAAGAATTTCAGCGTCGATGTGCTGAATTTCAGCGTCGAGGTGCTGATTTTGAAAGGGGAATAGGGGAATATGACGATGGATTCGGATACCAATGCTGGAGGGAGGACCGGGACAATTGGGGAGCACCTCATCTTCGAGGAATGGGAGGTTATGGAGAATACCGGGGTAACGGAAGGGATCCAAAGGTGAGGAAGTTGAAGATGCCCATCTTTGAGGGCGAAGATTGCCATGGTTGGATCTATAAGGTGGAGCGTTACTTCGCTGTCAACGGGTGGGTTGACAGATGATGAGAAGCTGACGGCGGCAGAATTGTGTCTGGAAGGGAAGGCGTTGGCATGGTATCAGTGGCGAGACAGGAGGGAGCCTATCCGGAGCTGGAGAGAGTTCAAGGATTGTTTATTAGAGCATTTCCGAGCCGATGGGGGAGGAGACTTCTATGAACAATTCTTTGCTTTGACGCAGGAGGGGACTGTGGCCGATTACCGGGACAGATTTGAGTACCTTGCAAGCAGATTGGATCACATTTTTGAGTCTGCCCTAGAAGGGAATTTCATGAAGGGGCTTAAACCGGAGATCCGAACATCAGTCAGAGTGCTAGAGCCAAGGAACTTAGGCAAGGCCATGGAGCTGGCACAATTGGTGGAATATCAGAAGAGATCAGAAAGAGGAGCTCGAGGCAACTACTCAGGGGGATCGTACACGATGACTACTGCTATATTACCCTCCAAAGGGGTAGTCCCAGGGAACCAGAGGGAGGTGCCCAATGAGCGATCTAGTGGAGGGGGAAATGGGGGACAGTTCAAATGGTTGAGTGAGAAGGAGGTGCAGGAAAAGAGAGCAAAGGGGTTATGCTTCCAATGTGTTGAGAAGTATATGCCCGGGCATAAGTGCAGAGACCGAACTCTTCAGGTTCTCCTTGTTTGTGATAACGAGGAAGACGAGGAGGAAGGTGGGAGCAATTCTGAAGTGGAAGAGGAAGAGAAGTTGCACTTAGATGTGGCAGAAGTCTCTCTGAACTCTGTAGTGGGATTCACTCCGAGTCACACTATGAAAGTGTGAGAGGAGAGATAGCTAACCGTGAGGTGGTGGTGTTGATCGATAGTGGGGCAACTCATAATTTAATTTCCACCCAGATTGTGGAGTCACTTGGGATGGAGCTAGTGGATACAGGAGGCTATGGGGTGATGATGGGCACAAGAAAGGTGAAAATGGGTAGAGGAGTTTGTAGAGGAGTGGTGCTGAAGATTCAAGGGATCCAGGTGAACGAGGACTTCCATCCCTTGGAATTGGGGAGTACTGACGTCATCCTAGGGATAAAGTGGCTGCGTACATTGGGGGAGACTAAGATCAATTGGGGGACACTGAGAATGGAATTGGTGATAGGGGGAGAAGGAGGATGATTCAGGGTGACGCTGGGTTGACCAAGGCTGGGGTTTCTCTCAAATCCCTAATCCGGATCATTCAGCGGGAAGGAGGAGGCTATTTGGTGGAATTGCACAGTTTGGAGGGAGCAAGAGTGGAGGAGGGAGGAGATATACCCCTCTCTGTTCAACCGTTGATTCAGCAGTTCCAGGAGGTGTTTCAGCCGCCTCAGGGGTTACCACCGCAGAGGGAGCGAGAGCATGCTATTGTGTTGAGGGATGGGGTTTCACCCATCAGTGTACGTCCTTACCACTACCCTCAGTTCCAGAAAGACAAAATTGAACGGTTGATTAGAGAAATGCTGGAAGCAGAGATCATCAGACCCAGCATCAGCCCTTTCTCTAGTCCCGTTCTATTGGTGAAAAAGAAGGACGGCAGCTAGCGATTTTGTGTGGATTACAGAGCACTCAACAAGGAGACTGTACCGGACAAGTTTCCTATACCCGTTATCGACGAGCTGTTCGATGAATTAAGCGGGACTGTGATATTCAGCAAGATAGATTTGAAATCGGGCTACCACCATATTCGAATGAGGAAGGAAGATGTGCCCAAGATGGCTTTTAGAACTCATGAAGGCCATTATGAGTTCTTGGTGATGCCTTTTGGTCTCACCAATGCCCCATCTACTTTCCAGGCCCTGATAAATAAGGTTTTCAAACCATATCTCAGACGGTTTGTGTTAGTATTTTTTGACGACATCCTGATATACAGCAGGTCAGAGGTTGAACATTAGGAGCATTTGACAAAAGTTTTAGAGGTATTACGGGAACATCAGTTGAGGGCAAATCTAAAGAAATGTTGCTTTGCACAAGCCAGTGTAGAGTACTTGGGTCATGTGGTATCAAAGGACGGGGTGACAGCAGATCAGTCCAAAATTGAGGCGATGCTAAAGTGGCCACTACCAAAAAATCTGAAGGCGCTGAGGGGATTTCTGGGATTGACAGGTTATTACAGAAGATTTATAAAGGGGTATAGCACCATAGCATGGCCACTTACGGAGCAGTTGAAGAAGGATGGGTTCTTGTGGGGAGAAGCAGCCACATCAGCATTCGAGAACCTGAAGAAGGCAATGACTACTGTGCCGGTCCTAGCTTTGCCAGATTTTACTCAGACATTCATTGTGGAGACAGATGCATCCGGATACGGATTGGGAGCAGTACTTATGCAAAATCGGAGGCCCATCGCTTATTTCAGCCAGGTATTGACTGCTCGAGCAAGGATGAAATCAGTATATGAGAGGGAACTGATGGCCATTGTGTTAGCCATCCAGAAATGGTGGCCCTACCTACTTGGAAGACACTTCATTGTCAGGACAGATCAGCGGAGCCTGAAATTTCTTCTGGAACAGCGGATGGTGATAGAAGAGCACCAGAGGTGGTTGTCCAAGTTACTGGGATACGATTTTGAGATTCAGTACAGGCCAGGAGTGGAGAACAAGGCGGCAGATGCCTTGTCCAGATGTATGGAGGAACTACAGACAGTTTCTCTATTCGTTCCTTTGATACTGGATTGGGAGGCCATCAGAGAAGAAAGTGCTAGAGATGAGAGTTTGGGAAAGATCAGGACTGAGTTACTGAAGGAACCAGGTAGCCACCCGGGGTACTCACTGGAGGGCGACAAACTGCTGTATCAGGGGAGATTTGTGATGCCCCGGACGTCAATCCACATCCCAAACCTTCTCCAAGAGTTCATGGGAGTGCAGTGGGGGGCCACTCAGGCGTACAGAAGACATACAGGAGGCTAGCTGGGGAGCTGTACTGGAAAGGGATGCATAAAGATGTAGATGAGATGGTAGCCAGATGTGAGGTCTGTCAAAGGAGTAAGTACCTAGCTATGTCACCAGGAGGATTACTACAACCGCTAGCTTTGCCGGGTAGAGTATGGGAGGAGATATCTATGGACTTCATAGATGGGTTGCCTCGTTCAGATGGGTTCACGGTGATCTTAGTGGTGGTGGACAGGTTGAGCAAGTATGCCCATTTCATTCCCCTCCGACATCCCTACACCGTAGTAACAGTAGCATCAGCCTTCATCATAGAAGTGGTCAGATTACACGGAGTGCCCGAGGGCCGAGGCGATCGTATCAGATAGGGACAAAGTGTTCCTTAGCCATTTCTAGAGGGAGTTATTCAGATTGCACAGGACAGTTCTCAAGAGAAGCACAACCTACCACCCACAGTCGGATGGCCAGACGGAAGTAGTAAACAGGAGCTTGGAGACGTACCTAAGATGCTTTGTTTTAGAGACACTAAAGATATGGGCAAAGTGGCTATCCTGGGCTGAGTACTGTTACAACACGTCATTTCACTCGGCTTCACAGATGACCCCGTTCAAGGTGTTGTACGGACGGGATCCCCCACACTTGGTACACTTTGGGAGCAGTAGTACTCCTGTTTCGTCAATAGAGGAGTACTTGGAGAGGGACCGAGTGCTTGAGGAGTTAAAGAGGCATTTGCTGAGGGCGCAGCAAATCATGAAGAAGCAAGCAGATTGGCATAGAAAGGATATCCAGTTTGAGGCAGGGGAGAAGGTGTTCTTGAAGCTCCGTCCATATAGGCAGAAGACAGTCGCCAACAGGAGGAATGAAAAGCTAGCTCCAAGGTACTTTGGTCCTTATGAAGTGATGGAAAAGATTGGGGCAGTAGCATATCGACTGAAATTACCCCCGTCGGCGACTATACACCCGATTTTTCACGTCTCACAGTTGAGAAAGGCCATTGGGAATCACATCACCATTCCCGAGCTACCGGCGACACTTACAGAGGAGTTAGAGGTGATCATGGAACCCTTGAGCTGTGGGGTGTTCGCCAGAAAGAAGATGAAACTAAGGAAGTGTTGATCTAGTGGAAGAACCTTCCTGACTACGAGGCCACATGGGAGCCATACGAGAGGACGAAACATCAGTTTCTTAATTTTCACCTTGAGGACAAGGTGATTTTTTAGGAGGGCGGTAATGTTACGCCGGCCCAGGAGGGGCCGGCTGGACCGGTCCAAGTTTACAGCCGGCGGAAGCCAGGCCAGGGAGGGGGGCAGAACAGCCAAGGGGGCCCCACATGGAATTAAATCCAATTTTGGGGGGAAAATTTGAATGAGAAGGGTAATTAGGACATTTGTAATTCTCCTTTCATGATTAATTAAGGGGAATTTGGGAGTTATCTTGAATTTGAATGTTATTTGAGATCTAGGGTTTTTGTTCTTGGGCTCTAGACTACAGCTAGAGATTTGGAGAGTTTTTCCTTCCTCTCGAATTGAAGGAAAATTGTATCTTGCTTGTTGTTTGCATCTACTAGTGGAATACAATCGTTTGCAATTGTTTTCCTACGTTTTCCCTCAGTTTTTCTTCAGTTTTCCGCTGTTTTCACTGTTTTCCTGCGCCGGACAGCAATTTGCTTGGAGAGTTGTTTCAAAAAGTGCATAGGAAATGCTTGATTTCAAGTATTTCCTATCACTCTGTTTTCAAAAGCGTTTAACATGACCACAAGAAGAAAATCCCATACAAATACAGCCTAAAGAAGACACAGACTCTTCTCCCAAACATAATATTCCATGTTATCAATCTTAATTGTATAATTCAAAAGCAGGAAGGCATACCCACAACCTCTGGCACAAAAGCTCAGCCACCTAACACATGGCTGTAGGCGTATGCAGCAGCATTATTAAAGCAACCTAATCTCCTGCTCAAATCAGTACTGATACAATTCAACGGAATCAATATAAATTCTCAATATAAGAAGACAATCTTCCTATTTTTATATGGCATTTAAGCAGTTCCCTATGAACTCTAACTAATCCCATTAGGCTCCTGAACTTTGATATCATTTGACAACCAGCCTGCTTGTATAATTGTACATAAACTTTGCATGGGAAATGCTCCCTACTCTACCAAAAAAATTAATCTCCCTACAAAATTATTTCCCCCACCCCCCAAAAGAGAAGTTACCAAAAAGCATGTGATTTTTATTTTAAAAAGTGACTAATTTCTTTAATAAAAAATAAAAAGCGGGATTATATATAAAAGTTCAAGATGCATACCTATTCCAAGGTCAGGATGAATGATTGCCACTTTTAGCTTCCGATGCCCTTTATTCTCCATGCTCCGTGCCTCTCCAACTTCAGTTTCTCTAACGCAAACTGCATGGATAAACGAAGATTTTAGTGATGCAGGACGCCGCTACTTCCATGCATCTCTTCTATTTTAGATGTTCTTTTTTGTTTTAGTATAGTCTCGGCACTTTCTATTTTGGGAGAAACCCTAGCTTATATTTGTACTACTTATGACTTTGAAGGAGATAGAAGATAATTTTGGCTCCTAAAAATAAATTCCAGAAATGTATTTATGTTTGTTATCACTATTCTTCTTTTCCCTGTATAGCTTCTATGCTAGAGTGACAACAGAGTTGCAAGTTGGAGCCACAGTAGATGGAGGCAAAGGACCAGCTATCGACAAAGATCGCAGTATGGAGACCTTACGGGCTGCTAAATCAGGCACACGTAGAGCATAGATGAGCTCAACACCGTATTCCATCGTTTCTCAGTTGAGATGCGGTGATAGCATAAAACTTTCCATACAAAAAGTTACTCAAATCCGGCCACCAAACCAATGGGTTGGGCAACCATATCTGCAACCCGTGAAACACCTACGGTGAATCGTGACAAATGACAAACTCCATGGCTCCCTCCATTGGCACAATCAGATATCCTAGAATCCGTCGTTGAATCAGACATCCGCCATCGATTTAACCTGTCAAACCCAGATTATGTAGAAAATATCTAAATAAATACCCCACCGCATAGAAGGAATGATTGTCACAAACTAAACTATAATAAGTTCCAAGTGAAGCTTGATATCCCATTTCGATAGACATCTACATAGACAAGATTACCTCAGCTGTGAACACTAAATTGAAATTTTATTTAAATATATGAAAATCCCATCAAATAAGCAAGTGAGGTATGTTGCTTGCGAATTGAAAGGGTGAATGGAACTCTTACTGTTATGATGATGGAAGGGTAAGGGTTGTGTTCAAAGCTGGTTTAGAAAAAAAAAACAATTTTTGCAAAGATATTTCTTACCAATTAATTTTGAACAAATACTATACATGTGACATCAACATTGCTCTGAACGCACAAGGTCTGTGAGTGAATATACGGAAAAAATCAATAGGCTTAGTGCATGAAATAATTTGTATGAATCCAATAATCAATTGTTCAATCAATACATTGACAATCTCAAGGAAGCAAGTTAAGATAAATTAGAGATGAACTCAATATGGTTTCAATCCCAGGACGTAAACTTCGCATACAAGGTCAAGTTATAGGCTTATAGCTCACTTGAGCTTAAGAGGGAACTCCATTCTAGAAACTGCACAATGAGCAGCACAAATGCACAATTGAGCAGCACAATGATGGCTGCAAATCATTCACACAATCAGCAAATTATAGCACCCTTCAATTCCAACATACCAACAAATCTCCCGCCCCGAAACACACAAAATCACTGGGAAATCAAATATGCCCACTCAAGAGAACATGATGCAGGACTAAGTATGAGATGCTTTTAATTCATTTGGATTTTGCACTTGTGATTAGAATAATCATAGAACAAAACTACTAGCAATTTAAAATGACAATTCAAAATAAATAAGAGATCACATTCTCTTAGGCCAAGTTACATAGCAAAAGAATTGGAGCCGACAAAATAAATTCAGAAAATAACATAATGACAAGTAGTAGTTCCAAAGAAATGCCTAATCTAACAATAAGAGTTAATTGGCATAAAGGCGCACTCAAACCCTACGCTTACTAAGCTTTAGCATGAGCATTATGGAGTCATCCTTCATGACTGTGAACAAATCTAAGAGAAATTAGACTTAGGAAATATAAGGAAAGGAGAAAGAAAGAACCTTCGTCAAGGAGCGATGGATATCCTTCATTCGATGCCTTCGAAGTACTCGTCAATGGCTTCTACCAAGTAGATCAAAGTGTGCTTCAAGTAATCTTCGACGGTGAGATCAATCCTTGGATTCACGTCGAAGAAAGTAGATTGTAGGATGTCGACGAACCGTCCTCGTCCCATGTTATGCCATAATCAGTCTCTGAATCCGCCATTCATGGGTGAAGGAAGACCGATCTCTTCTCCAAAATCTGAGAGCAATTTCAAATTTCTTTGTTCCCAAAACTTGAGAGGAATCTCAGACTCTCTAGAGAAAATAGTGGTAGGGGAAGGAAGATTCAAGTTGGGAACTCAAGTGAAAATTTGAGGGTGGGGAGGGGATTTGGAAGAGAGGCAACCCAAGGTGAGGCCTTGGGACAATTCGGCCAGCAGCAGGTTGAAGTCCAAACTTTTCCCAAAGAGAAACAATGCTTTAGGAAATAATTCAGTAAGGGAGCCACCCGGGATGTAGAGGTAATTAGGGATTCATTTCCTCATTCTATTCTCAGTTATGGAAAGTAAATAAAGGCTTGGGCTTTTGAAAATTTCGGTTGGTTAGAGAGGGAAAATATTTCCAAAGAGAAAAATTGGGTTTTAGGAAAAAAATCATAATCCAACCACTAAGGGGGCCGGCAGCATTGATGGCCAAGTTGGCATTAATAAAGAGAGTTTAAGAGTTTCTTAATTTAACCAAAAGAAATAGGAAAGGTATTAATTAACTCCTCTTAAATTTGAGATTCAAATAGGCTCTAGATTTGGAAACTTTCCTAAAATAAATTTCTTAAATTAGGAAAGAAATTTCAAATTCAATTTTTGTTTTCAAATTTGAAATTGCATCTTCCCAAGGTAAGAATAATTATTTATGGAAAGGAATCAAGAGGTGGTGGAGTCTTGGGGGGGAAATCCCAAAGGGGAGCAAGGAGGTCGGCGATTTGGGTGGGGAAACCATAGGTGAGGTAAAAGGGAAGGGGGTCGGGTGGTAGGTGGAGAGGGATTTGGTCGTGGGTTTGTGAGGGGCAAGAGGAGCTCGGGTGAGGTGGGGGTTGGTCGGCTATGGAGGTGAGGGAAGAACGGGGAGAAGGGGAAGAGAACCAAGAGCCACCGGTGATGACTGTTGGGTACGACGGGGTAACCTCTCCTAGGCTCCACCAAACTCTCTAATTCTCTCTCTCAAGCTCTCTCAAAAGCTCCAAGAAAACAAGTGCAGGAATTTTCTTCTAACTCATTCATTACCTCAAAATAAAAGACATGAGGCTATAAATAGCCAAGTACAAAGACTCAAGAAAAATAAAAGACCAACTTGCCCTTTGGGCTCACACACGACAATTCCCACTAAAGGGGTACAAACGGAAAAACCAAAATGACACTAAGCAAATAGAAAATACATGAATAATAAAATAACATAAATGAATTAGAAATACAAAGACTCGATCGTAACCGTAGATCGGCGGCCACGCCTCTGATAAACCTTCCACGAGATGATGTCCCCATCAGAACACTTATGCTAAACCAAGTAACCTAAAATGCTTTCGATGTTTCCTCCAAGATGTGAATCCAATGAATGTCCTACAAGAAAGCAAGTGAAACATCTTGAAGGCAAACCTAAAGTTGGACAACCAGGTGCCGATGTTACTGCAGAAACTGGCATGAAAAGAACTTCATAGTGATGAGGGTGAAGCTATAATTTGCATTTTGGAGAAGCTCTAGATTTCTCCTCAAAAACCCCTCACCTCATAGAGGGCATGCCATCTTTTGAACCAAATGTAATATCAACGGTAAAGTCTAAAAACTCTTAATCAATAGTGGGTGTACTAAGAATATAATTTTGCAATCATCCATTCAATCTTTACATCTTAAATGGATCGACATACTAATCTCGAATGTGTATCGTGTCAGTTTCTCCATCAAAAAATATTTTGTGCGAAGTCCTATGCAATGTACTTGACACGAACGTGTGTCATCTCATCTTAAGCCGAATATGAAAGTTTGACATGGTTTCCTCATATGAATGTCATTCTAATGCCTATTCCTTTGAATGTGATGTCAAAAAACTTAGGCTTCTTAAATCGCCAACCGCTAGTGGTATGAGGAAAACTATGCTCTATTTTTAGCATTGGATCCTACACTACTTAACACTTACAAAGAAACTTCCTCTATATATGCTTTAATAATAGCATAACACAAGTATTCTACAAGTATTCTACAAGTATTGATCCTCTACCTAAGGGTGTCCGCGCTTTGCCCAAACAAAGTTCGAATATTGTTCATGCAAAATTACCATCTCAGCTACCACAATTGCAATCCATTCAGCACCAAATCGATCTGACACTAGGAGCCTCCTTGTCAAACCTTCCCCACTACAAAATAAGCCCTAAAGAACATAGAATTTTGCGAGACATGGTGGACAAATTCATGGACACAACTAATTTAGTAAAACTTAAGCTCGTGTGCCCTGACATTGTTCATGCTCAAAAAAGAAAGAAGTTGACATATTTGTGTCAATAATCACACCACAGATAAAATAAAAATTAAATATTGTTCACCAATGCCATAATCAAAAGACATGATGGATAAGCTAGATGGTGTTAACATATTTTCTAAATTTGATTTGTGTAGTAGGTAGGCATCATCAAACACACATTTAGCTGGAGATGAGTGGAAAACATTGCTCAAAACTCGTGAAGGCCATTATGAATGAAAGTTTATGACTTTTGAATTGTGGAACACGCCCACCACATTTATGATGCTTTTGAATGAGATACTCAAACCTTTCTTAGGATCATTTTGTGTCATATATTTTGACAACATCCTAATCTTTAGGACTTTTTTATGATCACTTACAACATTGACAAGCATATTTATCACCCTACACAAACATAAATTGGATCTCAACTTATACAAATGTGAGGTCTCCACTTCCTTGGCTATATCAATAGAGTGATGGGCATCCAACTAAAGCAAAGGAAAGTTGCGGTTGGGAGGATTAGGGAACACCCACTCCATTTTTTATGTTTGCCGCTTCCACCGCTTGGCCAAATTCTACTGCCAATTTATGTGGGATTTCAACATCATCATGGTACCTATCAGTAACTATCTTTAACTAAAAGAGTTCACCTACTCCAATTACTAGCAAAACAATTTGGAAACCATCGAGAAGCATGTTGAACAAAACACTAGTTTTAGCTATTCATAACTTGAGAAATTGTTCCACATTGACACGAATGTCTCAATTATCGGCATTGAGGCAGTTCTCTCACAAAAAGGCGGACCTATTGAATTTTTAGCAAGAAGCTCAGCACCGCAAGACAAAACAAGATAATTTATGAACAAGAATTATACATCATAACCCATTCGCTCAAGCATTGTAACAACATAAAATGCATCAAGAATTTGTGCTATGCAACAACAAGCACGCATTACAATTTCTCAATTCAAGAACTACGATATCTTCTTGCAAAGGTTTAGCTTGTGTTTAAACAAAAAGTAAGTTCCCAAATAGGGTTACGCCTTAAACCGATTCTCAGTTTCCTACCATCGCTGCAAGAGGAAATTACTAGTTATGAGTCTATGAAGGAACTCCATAGTAGTTATTGATTTCTCTACATGTCCCAAACTCTATTTGGAGGACCCAAGTCTTGACTTTGTTTTAGGCTTACCATAAATCAAACATGGAGCAGATTCTATCATGGTCGTTGTTAATACGATTTTCAAAATGGCACATTTCATCACCTATAACAGACTTTCGATGCCCTTAATGTATCCCAGCTCTTTTTACATATGATCATGAGATAACATGGGCTTCCTCATATTTTGACACCCAACGGGAAGTAAAATACATGAGTTGTTTTTAGCATGAACTTTGGAAACTATTAGAGATAGACCTCCATCTAAGCTTGACTTACCATCCTTAAATTGAAGGGTAAACCAAAGTTTTAAGCCTACTTTGGGAGAAATGCTATGTTGTTTAGTTCAGAGTCATCCAAACTAATAGGGCAAAGTCCTTGGTCAAGCTAAGTTAGCCTGCAATTCAATTTCTAATTGATCGATTGCCAATGTCCAGTTAGCATTTTCTACACTAAATCATTGAATCATACAATGTAGTTTTACCAAAGTGAGCAAATTAGCTAAGGAAATGGTTGTTGGATTTGATAAAATGTTACAAAATGTTCGGTCAAAACTTAAAACCTCCAACGCCAAACATAGGTGACGCAAATTTTTTATGGATGTGATCTCATAATTGTCCATCTTTGAAAAGAGTGATAACCTCCCCGCACTTGCTCCAAATTGAGCCCGTGAAAGCTATGCTCATTCACAATAACTAAGAAGACCAATGACAATGCTTATGTTGTCACTCTCCCACTTGAGTTAGACATCTCCCCAACCTTCAACGCCTCTAACATCTACACATACCACATACCACCAACCTAACAATTCCACTGTACAACTCACCTCACTTGAGTTGACTCCATCTGAAGTAGAGAATAAATGATACAAGACGCCACTACTTCTATTCTATTATGACATATATTTTACATACATTAGTCATTTCTTTATATCTCTTATATCTTAGCAAATCTTTTCTGTTTGTACATCCCCGGCACTTTCTGATTTGAGGCAGAAGAAACTTTTTTGTTAAATTTGTATGCCTATGACTTTGGGGGAGATAATTTTGGCTCCCTAAAACTAATTCCAGTGACAAATTTGTGTTTGCTCGCTTTATTCTTCTTCTCCCTTTTCAGCTTCTACGCGATTTGGCTATGCTCGGATGGGACCCAACTAGAGAAAGAAATCAATAACCATGATGCGAACTGAATACTTAATCTCCCAAAATTAAAACATTAGATGAAAAATAACATCTTTATCATCAGAAACGCACCTGCAACGTCCGCGGCACAGCACCAGTTATAACGCTAGAATATTTGTCGTAAGGATGGAACTCATGCTGATAAAATAGAGGAAAAAGGGATACATATGGAGCACAAGGAGAAAGAGATCTAAGGTGCTGTTTGGTAGCAGGATTTGAACAGGATTTAAGGTGCCAACGGCAACACAATGACAACTTTAAAGAACACACATGTTAAATCGGGGGTTAAGGGGCTGTTTGGATGCAGAATTTAACAGAATTTATGCCAAATCCTTCCAAACGGGGTTTGAGCGCCCGCTAAATCTCACGACGGAATAAATCCTCCGTCTCCCCTTTGGACTGTAAATCCCGGATTTAGAAAATCCTGAAATTTCGCAGATTTAGGGGATTTGGCTGAAGAAGCGCACGAAAGGGAGAAAGATAGTTACCTTTACAGCGAGAAAGCTCCCATTCCGAATTAAGATGTTGTGACTTCAAGGGAAAGTCGTCAAAGGAGCGAAGTCAACAAGCAACGAAGGAACCGAAGAAGCGACTCGTGCAAAACACTTACCTCACGCGAAGCAACGAAGTCGAACAGCAGCGATGAAATAGAGAAGACGAAACAGGAAGATATTAGACTAATTTAACTTAATTAATATAATTTAAATATTATTATTAAGTAAAGTAATTAAATAATTAGTGGTAGAATTAATGCATAAATTAATTATCAAACTTAGCTTAATTAAATAATTAATAATATAATTTGGAAAAAATTATTAATTATATAATTAACAGTATAAATAATAATGAAATAATTAATGAATTGTAGAATACTTAAATAATTAATAATATAATTTATAATTAAAATTAACTAAATAATACTTAAACAATTAATTAAAGTATTATTAGGATTATAATTTAAATAATTGATTATTTCAAAAATAATAATTAACTAATCAATCAAAGAATTATATAATTAAATATCAAATATATCATTATATCATTGATGGTAAGTAAAATTAAAATTAAAATTAATGTGTAATTTGCACTTAACTTATAAATTAATTCAAAACATATTATAATTAATTTTTAAATGAGATAATCTTCTTAAATTTAGGATTATGTTGCCAAACAGATTTACCTAATTTAACAACTATGTTGCGAAACGATTTTCAGAATTTAACATGTCATGATTTATTAAATCCGGATTTACATAATTTAGTAAATCCAACTAAAGTTAAATCTTACTTGTTGTCAAATAAGCACTAAATCCCAAAAGTATTGGATATATTCAACTATGTCCACAAGTCTCACAAACTCTTAATTATTTACACGCCGCTTGTCCGCCGATGCCTTCTCCAATGAGCTCCCGTT